ATTACAGGCTTGAGCCACCGCGCCCGGCCAAGGATCTTCTTATCCTCCATTGAACCAACTTAACAGTGCCAGGCAGGGCAGGCTGTGCTGCAGGGTGTGCACCCTCCAGCTTTGTGTGGCCACTTCTAAGAGTTTGCCCTGACCTGCTCCCATCCCCAGGATTTCCTGGAATCTGGAAGGTACAGATAAAGCTTTGCTAGGTTCACCTGCATCTTTTGATTGTAATACATTTAAGTGATTTTGTGTCCTTTCTATTAAATCACACCAAAGGACACTTCATATCTTTTTAACCCTCTGTCAGTGATGCTAAAACTTTGATTTTTGATTTTTACATGTTTTTTAGAGGCAGGGTTTTGTTCTGTTGCCCATGCTAGTCTCAAGCTCCTGGGCTCAAGCAGTCCTCCCTCCTCAGCCTCCCAAAGTGCTGGGAATATAGGTATGAGTCATCACACCAGGCCAGTGATGCTAACATTGGCCACTGGCTAGGGTGATGACAGTCCAGTCCTCCATCCCTCGGTCACATTTTCCTCCCTGTGAAGAGGAAGTTGTCCACGTGGGCTTCCTTTGGGGGTGCCTCATCCACATGTCACATGCTGTTGGCCTCAGTTGACAATCCTGGCCTTGAGCAAGAATTCTTTGAGGGCTCGGGGAAGAGTGATTTCCTTAATTTGTCCTGTTGCCATCATGTGCTGGCAGTTTGCTGTCAGTGAGAGCTCCCGCATGTCAGCCAGGGCTGTTTGGTGGCCCTGAGGTGAGCCTCAGGCAAAAGGCAGCCCCGTGCCCTGTTCTTTCCCTTTACTGGTCAGGCTCAGAATGTGGTGGTGGTTTCATAGCTGCCTCAGGCAGCATCACACCTTATTTCTCTGGCTTTTTCATTCCTCTTTTTGAGACTTGACTTGCCAAAACTGTAGTCAGGGAAGCTCTTCAAAGCTGAGTCCCGTGTCCTGTTGGCTGACCCCATTACATTTTAAATTTTAATTTTGAAATAAGAAAAGTTGCAAAAATAGTACAAAGAATTCTTCCTCACCCAGATTCTCCAAATGTTATTTCACCACCTGCTATATCCTGTCTACATGCATGTGTATGTACGTGCGTTTATACTGGTATGTAGTCATTAATTTCCCCACTGATTTTTTACAAGCAACCAGATTTTTAAGTCTCTTAACTTCGGCCAGGTGCAGTGGCTCATGCCTGTAATCCCAGCACTTTGGGAGGCTAAGGCAGGCGGATCACAAGGTCAGGAGATGGAGACCATTCTGGCTAACATGATGAAACCCCGTCTCTACTAAAAATAGGAAAAAAAATTAGTCAGGCGTGGTGGCAGGTGCCTCTAGTCCCAGCTACTCGGGAGGCTGAGGCAGGAGAATGGTGTGAACCTGGGAGGTGGAGCTTGCAGTGAGCTGAGATCGCACCACTGCACTCCAGCCTGGGCGACAGAGCGAGACTCAGTCTCAAAAAAAAAAAAAAGTCTCTTAACTTCATGTATACATGATGTATACACATGTATTTTATAGACGGACACAGGTATAGGTAGCCATGTACATATGTGCCTGCATAATAGCATTTGTAATGAGCTACCTACATGTGGCTGAAGGCGTTGGTGTTGACTTCAGAGAAACTACTAAGGAGTCAGTGTGGCTTCTGAGAGTCCTGAGGAGTAACTCGTGAACCTTTGGACATTTTTCTGGACCATGAGACTTCATAAAGCTCCAAGAATGATACCAACTCTGCGGATGGAGGTGGAGATGAAACATGGAGAGAGAGACCAGAGGAATGTGAGAGGATATTAGGGACACACCTGGGTTTGTGGGATGGATGCCTAACATTTTAAAAAGTTGTTAAAATTGGCTGGGTGCGGTGGCTCAAGCCTGTAATCCCAGCACTTTGGGAGGCCGAGACGGGTGGATCACGAGGTCAGGAGATCGAGACCATCCTGGCTAACACGGTGAAACCCCGTCTCTACTAAAAAATACAAAAAACTAGCCAGGCAAGGTGGCGGGCACCTGTAGTCCCAGCTACTCGGAGGCTGAAGCAGGAGAATGGCAGGAACCCGGGAGGCGGAGCTTGCAGTGAGCTGACATCCGGCCACTGCACTCCAGCCTGGGTGACAGAGCGAGACTCCGTCTGAAAAAAAAAAAAAAAAAATTGTTAAAATTGATAAACAAAAATAAAAATCATTACTTGGGCCAGAAGGAAATTCAGTCAGGAAAAGGGGAGAAAAAGAAAATATCATCCTTGCTTCTTAGCTTTTTGGCGAAGATCAAGTAACAGATCAAGTAACAGATGAAGTCTGTTCTTATCAGAAAATATGGTAAATATAGGAAAAATGAAATAAAAGCATAAATAAGCCCTAATATACCAGTAGTTAAAATAAATGTCAATGACCAAAACACACTAATCAAAAAGAGTTAAGGGCCGTGAGCAAATGGAAAACCTAACAATATATAAAATTACAAAACATGCACCATGTAGTATATGTATAATATATAACTAACTGTGTGTGCGTATGATGGTTCACAGTACCATGAGGAGAAACAAAATACCAAAAAGTGTGGTTTGAAATTTGAATGCACCCCTCTCAGAAATGGACAGGTCAGGTGGGTGAAAAAGCAAAGAACTAGAAGATTGGAACGCCACAGCTCTCTACCTGGGCTCAGAGAGAGCACTAGACCCAACAGGCAAATTCTTTTCAACACAGGGAACTTACAGGAATACTGCCTCTATCAGTCCACAGAGGAAGTCTCAGTAAATCCCAAAGTCAACATCATAGGATAATGTGATAAAATTGAAAATAAATTTTATAATATCTTACACATCTGGAGACTAACAATACACTAAGCAATCTAGGTGACAGAGGAAATGGTAAGGAAAAATTTGAAATTCCTGTAAGTCTGTGGCCTCAACAAACTCTATGTGCCTAATTTGGTAAGCGAAGGCTTAAATACATTTATTAAGATTAAGACAGGTGGGTCATTCCAGCCAGCGCTGAGCGAATGGCATCTCTCGGGACAGCTGGCACAAGCACCACAAGACCGGGGGCAAGAGAAAGCCTAACCATAAGAAGCAGAAGTACGAGCTGGGGTGCCCCACTGCCAGTGCCAAGATTGGCCCCTGCCACATCCACACAGTCCATGTGCAGAGAAGTCACAAAACACACTGTGCCCTGAGGCTGGATGTGGGGAGTTTCTCCTGGGGCCCAGAGTGTTGTAATCACAAAACAAGCATCATGGATGTTGTCTACAGTGTGTCCAATAATGAGTTGGTCTGGACCAAGACGCTGGTGAAGAGCTGCGTCATACTCGCTGACAACACACCGTGGTGGTACGAGTCCTACCATGCACTGCTCCTGGGCTGCAAGAAAGGGGCCAAGCTGACTCCTGAGGAGGAAGAGGTTTTAAACAAAAACTGATCTAAAGAATTCAGAAGAAATATGATGAAAGGAAAAAGAATACCAAAGTCAGCCTCCGGAGAAGCAGCTCCAGCAGGGCAAGCACCGCGTCAAGGCCAGGACGGTGTGGCCAGGCAGATGGCTACGTGCTAGAGGGCAAGGAGTCAGAGTTCTGTCTTAGGAAAATCAGGGCCTGGAAACACAAATAAATCCTCATCCTTTCTGTCTCCACCCATGTAATAAAGGTGTTTATTGTTCTGTTAAAAAACAAAAATTTTTAATGAGTTTAAAGACCAAAATAAAAGATTAAAAAATAAACGAAAAAAGGAAAAACAAAACAGGGTGCAGGGAGAAGGCAGCCATCCACAAGCCGGGAAGAGAGTCCTCATCAGAGCCCGAACATCCCAGCACCCTGATCTCAGACTTCCAGCCTCCAGACTGTTTAAGAAAATAAGTTTCTAGCTGGGCGCGGCGGCTCACGCCTGTAATCCCAGCACTTTGGGAGGCCGAGGCAGGCGGATCACGAGGTCAGGAGATCGAGACCATCCTGGCTGACACGGTGAAACACCATCTCTACTAAAAATACAAAAAAATTAGCCGGGCGAGGTGGCGGCGCCTGTAGTCCCAGCTACTCGGGAAGCTGAGGCAGGAGAATGGCGGGAACCCGGGAGGCGGAGCTTGCAGTGAGCTGAGATCCGGCCACTGCACTCCAGCCTGGGAGACAATGCGAGACTCATCTCAAAAAAAAAAAAAAGAAAAAAAGAAAAGAAGTTTATGTTGTTTAACCCATGCAGTGTGTGGTATTTTGTTACGGCAGCCTGTGCTGACTAATATATCTTCTTTACTAAGTAATTTATTGGCATCATTAAATTTTACCCCTAAATTTTCCAGTATATATCTTTAAAAACTAAAGTTAATGCCAAGTCTGTATTCAAGTTTCCTAAATTACAGGACTTTTTTGAAAGAAAAACAGTTGTACTAAATCCCAGTGCTGCTTTAAATTGTTTGTGTTATCTTATTTAGGTAAATTTGAACATAAAATCTAGTATAACCAGTATGTCGAATAAGCAGGGCCTATGTGACATAATTAATATGCAATTTTATTTTACTCCCTGACTCCTTAACAGTTAGTGGGGGAGCAATTGATTGAAAACATTGATAGATCCATGATCTTTCTGGTCTCTCATAGAAAAGAGAAAACTTAGTCTAAGCAAAAAATTCCGTTTCAGTTTAGTTATTAAAATGACTCGTGCTGTGTGATATTCAAACTTGCCAAATTCATTCAGAGATAAATCTTCTCCCTTCTCTGCTTGGGATATTCAATATACAGGAAGGCAGGGAAGGTGGCATGGGATATTCCTTCCCTTCCCCATATTTCACTTCTATCCCTCCTCTCTTTTATTACTAGCTTGAATTTTTTTATCCTACTAGTGTCAAAGCAGGGCGCAGGAGATAAGGGATGGGAAAGTCCCACACTTCACTGGCCCATCACACTATGGATTTGAGCTCCCCCATCTTTGAGGATCTGTTTCCCAGGACACCACCCCTGATACCAGGTTGGATCACCGAGTGGGGACCAGTCAGGGACACAGGAGCCACACTAGGTATTTCAACAAAGAATTGAATGTGGGGACTTGGCTAAACAGACGTTGGAACACTTAGAGAACCCAAAAGGAAACTGAGGTAACAAATAGCTGAAGGGGCAGCTGCCACCCTCTAGGGGTTAAGGGATAAAGGGAAGAGAGAATCTGGGCTTGTCAGAGCCTGAAAGTTCAGAGAAGGGCCCCACGGAGAGGGAAGCAGATCTGGGAGGAGCAGCATGGCCAGGCTGGTGGTAGCCCCTGTGGGAGCGGCGATGAAGCTGTCCTGAAAGAGCAGAATGAAGCTGAGTCTGGAACCGGCCGCCCCTGTTGGCGTGCAGGGCTGTTGCTAACGTGCCACCATCGGGACAGTGGGCACGATGGGAAGGAGAAGAGCTTTCTTGTCTCCTTCTAGAACCTCCCATTTGCAAGGTCAACAAGGACTCGGCTGACAACGGAGAGATGTGTAGCTCAGCTGAGGCTAAGCATAGAAGCGAGACTTGAAGCTGAGAGACAACAGCTCAATATCTGGTATGAGGAGACAGGGTCCTTCCCTGCCCCTCATTTTGCTCCCATGTCACTTCCTCCTCTTCAGTGTCGGACTCCACTGAGCTCAAAGCAGGGAGAAGGAGAGGAGGGGCACAGAAGGTCATCCACCCCATGGCGCTCTCATAGGAAAGCATCAGGCTCTCTGGCCTGGCCCGTGTTTACGCATGACTTGTTCTCGAATGGAACGCAGTTGGGGTGCTCACAGACGCCCCCTCACAGCCTGCCTCCATGATCTCCCTGGGCAGTTTTTTTTGTTGTTGTTTGTTTGTTTTTGTTTTGTTTTTTTGGAGACGAAGTCTTGCTCTTGTTCCCCAGGCTAGAGTGTGATGGTGCGATCTTGGCTCACTGGAACCTCCACCTCCCGGGTTCAAGTGATTCTCTTGCCTCAGCCTCCCGTGTAACTGGGACTACGGGCACCTGCCACCACGGCCGGCTAATTTTTGTAATTTTAGTAGAGATGGGGTTTCACCATGTTGGCCAGGCTGGTCTCGAATTCCTGACCTCAGGTGATCCACCTGCCTCGGCCTCCCAAAGTGCTGGGATTACAGGTGTGAGCCACTCTGCCCGGCCAACTCCCTGGGCAGTTCTTGAAATCCAGGCAAAGGCACTTCTCGCTTCATCCCAGGGTTTAGAGGCCAGAGCGAAATGAAAAGGTGGGGTTTGAAAATCAGGGAAATTGTGCTGTTAGTGTTAAAGCACTTTTTTCCTTTCTCACTCACTCTCTCTCCCCTTGTCCTGGCATTTTTGTGTGTGCCATTTAATGTTATTCTAAGTACATAAAACCTAAAATATGAGGTTATCATTAAAATGTAAGATGAACATTAGTGTTTGTTTTTACATTGTTCATTGCTTGTTTTAAATGCAAATAGAATTTAATGCCTACACAGAATCACTGAAATTACACAATTTGTCTTGTGTAGCTTATACATGCATAAATATTTCATTCTTACCAGGGCAGCTCTGCATAAGGCTAAGGCAACCGCAGTCATGTGTCATATAATGGCATTTCAGTCAACCACGGACCACATATGACAGAGGTCCCATAAGATTATAATACTGTATTTATATTCTACCTTTTCCATGTTTTGAGGCCAGGTGTGGTGGCTCATGCCTGTAATCATAACACTTTGGGAGGCTGAGATGGGAGGATCGCTTCAGGCCAAGAGTTCAAGACCAGCCTGAGTGATACAGTGAGACTCCATCTCTACAAAAAATGAAACAATTAGTTGGATGTGGTGGCATGCATCTGTGGTCTCAGCTACTCAGGAGACTGAGGTGGGAGGATCGCTTAAGGCCAGAAGTTGGAGGCTGCAGTGAGCTGTGGTCATGCCACTGAACTCCAGCCTGGGCAACAGAGTGAAACCCTATCTCAGTAGATAAATATGTTTTGTTTAGATACACAATCACTTAGTATTGTGTTACCATTGCCTACAGTATTCAGTACAGCAACTTGCTGTACAGGTTTGTGGCCCGGGGCAATCGGCTTTGCGATACAGCCTAGGTACTTAGTGGGCTGTACCATCTGGGTTTGTGTGAGTACACTCTATGAAGTTCTCACAATGACAACGTCGCCTAACACATTTCTCAGAAGGTGTCTCCAGTGTTAAGCGAGGTACAACTGTCACTTTGACCCACACACATTCTACCTCCTCTCCCCACCTGCAGCTTACTGATGCGTGTGGAAGGCTGACAGGGAAAGGAAGGCCAAACAGATGTTGGAAGACTTAGAGAACCAAAAAGGAAACTGAGGTAACAAATAGCTGAAGGGGCAGCAGTCTTCCCCTTTCCTTTTCAGTCACTGTTTTTTGACTCTGTGAATGACTGACACAGGGAAGCAACCCTAGTAAGAAAGGCTATGATTGGGAAGAAATGGAAACCCTGAACAGATGAGTAACGGGTTCTGAAATTGAATCAGTAATAAAACACCTACCAACCAGAAGAATCCCTGGACCAGACAGATTCACAGCCAAATTCTACCAGACATATAGAAGAACTTGTACTAATCCTGCTGAAACTATTCCAAAAAATCAAGGCCAAGGGAGGGACTCCTCCCTAACTCATTCTATGAAGCCAGCATCATTCTGATACCAAAACCTGGCAGAGACACAACAACAACAAAAAAAGAAAACAAGCCAATGTCCCTGATGAACATAGATGCAAAAATTCTCAACAAAATACTTGCAAACCAAATCCAGCAGCGTATCAAAAAGCTAATCCACCTCGATCAAGTAGACTTTATCCCTGGGATGCAGGGTTGGTTCAACATATGCAACTCAATAAATGTAATTTATCACATAAACAGAACTAAAAAGAAAAGCCACATGATCATCTCGAGAGATGCAGAAAAGGCTTTTGGGAAAATTCAACATCCCTTCATGTATAAAACCCTTAACAAACTAGGCATCAAAGGAACATACCTCAATAAGAGCCAAATATGATAAGCCCACAGCCAACATCATATCAAATGGACAAACGCTGGAACTATTCTCCTTGAAAACTGGTACAAGACAAGGATGCCCTCTCTCACCAGTCCTTTTCAAAATAGTATTGGAAGCCCAAGCCAGAGCAATCAGGCAAGAGAAAGAAAAAGCATCCAAATAAGAAAAGAGGAAATCAGATGATCTCTTTTCTCAGAAGATGATTCTATACCTAGAAAACCTCTTATTCTCTGCCCAAAGGCTCCTGGATCTGATAAACAACTTCAGCAAAATTTCAGGATACAAAATCAATGTACAAAAATCAATAGCATTTCTATACACCAATAACATCCAAGCTGAGGGCAAAATCAAGAATACAATCTCATTCACATAGCCACAAAAAGAATAAAATACCTAAGAGTACAGCTAACCAGGGAGGTGAAAGATCTTTACAATGATAATCACAAACCACTGCTCAAAGTCAGAGATGACACAAAACATTACAGGTTCATGGATAGAAGAATCAGTATCGTTAACATGGCCATACTATCCAAAGCAATTTACAGATTCAGTGCTATTCCTATCAAACTACCAATGACATTTTTCATATAATTGGGAAAAACTATTCCAGAATTCATATGGAACCAAAAAAGAGCCCAAATA